GTATTACTCGTATAAATACTCGTACTCGGCAAAAGTGCTTTATCCGCTCAACTCTACTAACGTGTGTACAGTGCTGAAAGTAGCCCAAACATTAGAACTTCCTGAGAAAAATGGACCTTTAAACTCTAGTGTTCACACATTATTTGCTTATTTGACTCTTTATTATCCATATATGTGACGTTTTCACCTCGGCGTGTACTGCCGACTGTGTGGTACACTGTATTTTCCCTTTAATTGGAACAAAATCACCCACTCTTCCCAGAAACCGAAACTCAAGCAGTGACCCAGCTTGTATTAGTGAGTAACCAAAAAATGATCCTATAAATGTAGCGTTAAAGCACATGCTTGCTCCTCAAACCACATTGATAAACCACATAAAGCACATTTAGGATAATAATCCTTTTGTTTGCATGCAGCTCTTGCAGCACATCAGACCACTGCAAGCTGCACAGCTGTGTGACGGCAGCAATTTGTTGTTATCTGGATGTGTCTGAAACTCCCATATCACACAATTAGTTGAATTTCCTCAGCTCCCTGTAAACTAGAATGGAAGTAAAAAATAAAATACCAACTTACTAACTCTAACTGGCTGCCATGAGAGATCACAAACTCTACTGTATCAGGCAGTTAGTTGCATCAACTGAATAAAGCATAGTCACATCCTGTGTATGTTTTTTTTTTGTGGCAGTGGTCCACCTTTTTTTTAGACAGTATCATGAGAGCGTGCACATGTTCAGTCTTGTCTGAGGCATTTTAAAGTTCATGTGTTTTTAATGATTAATCGTCCTGGGACATTTGTCTCACGGCACCCTTTCTCTATCCTCCCACATCTAACTACATTCATGTTCCCTTCCTCCACTGCAGCTGCAACCCATTATGAGAAAGCAAGAGGAATACCATCTCGCTCTACACGCGACCTTCCACTTACATGTTTACTACTAGATACTCTCACAACCTTTTCTCATAGCGCTCTAACAATGTGAACATATTCTATTCATATATCTCTTAATACAGTTTCCATATGAAATAATGAATGTTGTATCTATTTGTTTCACAGAACATTCTCCCAGGGTGCATTTGTCTACTACAGTGAGTGTTCACAATCTAAAGCCAAAAAAAAGTCTCAAATGTTTATTCATGCGGTCAGCAGTGTATTAGAAAAAACAAAAACAGTTCCCCTATTCTCCTTCTTCCTCCCCATCAGTTACAAGCTCGTCAGTATAGCCACCATCCAGCGCTGTAGTCAAAAGGACCAAGTCCAAGACCAGGACTAGTCCAGACTGGGTCCAAATGAGAGAGACAGAGTCAAGACTGAGACAGAAAAACAAGCATGCTTTTGCTGATTTTGACAAGTGCACTTCCATCAGTGTTTTGGAGAAGGGAGACAAAAGTAAGTGGATTTTAATGCTACAGCACTGAAACCATCTCCATCACCACAAAGAGACACAGTCAGAGAGATAATGTTTTGGTGTCATTACACACAACAACAAAATTCTCTTTTGCGACTTTAATCGGGTGATCATATCAGATAAAATGTAAGTGTCAGAGTAAGGCAGTTCTGTGAGGTTGTACTTTGACTAAATTCTACCATTCTCACAATGACAGTGCTAACATGCTCATTATCATGTTCACCATCTTAACTTAGTCTGTGTGAAAATTTCCTGCTGATACGTCCCATTGTTGAGATATTTCAGCAGAAACAACACCTACCCCATATCTAGTGGGGAGGCACTGGATATGGTTTTACATACAGATGGTTTTACAGATTCTTTTACACAGAAGTGGGGAGATGTGGAGGCCTCTCTCCAGCTCTCACTTTAACCACTCTTCCATAAAGATGAGCAATTTCCAGATAAACAAAATCGAAACATAACTGCTGAGGGGATGAAAAAAAATCAGATATATTGGCATGAACTAAAGCGGCGGATTGACCAACAATGCCATCGTTAAAGCTACGTTGCTAGCAAAAATACCAAGGATTTTAATAGCCAATAAACAGAATAAAGTCAATAGTAGTGTTAACAGTCAAATAAATATATCACTCATATAATGTGTGATTACACTGAAGATTAAATTCCTGTCACATTTACAGCAGTATTAGCGCCTGTCATTGGCTGGAAATGTTCTTGATGAAACACTATTGATTAACTGAAGCTGAAGATCCCCACTCTACTGCTTTACAAGCTCCACTGCTGCTAGTTATTATGTGATTGTTCAGTAGGTGGTCGTAGCACTTCCCCCCCCTTGTTGGGTTTAATCACGCAAATCTATGTCATTGCATCTGCAAATGGTTAGAATGGCGTAGGTCTGCCTGGAACAGGTAAACCACAGTGAACACAGCAAAGGGTGACAATAACAAGCAACATTTGTTCAACATCTGCAATATCCGTTTCCGTTTTTCAGTTCTCTTTTCGTCACATTATGTTTTTAAGACTGATACCCTTTTAATATGAACCAATGTAATTCATAGTTTCTCTGTTATGTTAAAAGCTCACGTATTACATTGATCCAGCCTCTCCTACTTTATTTGGCAAATTCCTATTGACATTAGATCTAACTACTAGATGAAACGCCTTCAAAGCAATTTTTCTGACTGCAAATAAACATGTCATGTCAAGTCTTTAGCCATGTGGGTTTTAAATGTACTTTGTCTAACTCTCCCCAGTCAATCACTTTTCTGAAGGTTGTGGAGAGCATTATTCTTTAACTGATGAGCTGACCTTAGCCCCTTTATCTTTTTATAATGTCTGAGTCTAAATGATCTTATTGATTTATTTATATAATCATCCAACAACTGCGGATCATTACACTTTATATAATGTATTAATACTGTGCATCATCACTGACAAATAGACGCCGTTTAGTTAAATGAGTCAATCATTTACATTTTGGGTGATAAGATTCTCTCAAACACCTGCTAATGAATAGTTCCTGTAGTTTGAACGCAGGTGTCAGACCAGAACATGACTCAGTAACAGTCGCGATCAAATCACTTTGCATGTACTGAAACGTTTTTTCTTTCACATCAAGAGATAGAAGAAGTGAGAAACTAAAAAACAGAATAATGTAGTTTTGTTGAGATATGAAGTTTTATAACTAGGTTCGGGAACAAAGACCACGCCCCGAACACGTGTTATTGGTCATTGGTCATTGGTCTTTTAAGATAATCATGTGTATATAAATAGTTTGTCTTTTCACACAGGTTTAAGGAATCAGATTATGAGAGGAACTTGTTAACTGAAATGATAATATTTTATTGGTCCACAGTGAAGCAAAGGTCATACAAGAACTGCACATCATAGCGTGTTATAACATCAAACGCAATCTTAGGTGTCGAAGGTTAATGATAAAAAAAAAACAGCATTACAAAGCACAGATATATACAAAATATAAATGCTTATTGCTAACTGCTGAAACTTCGTTTTGGCTGAAGGTTTTAAACTAAACTTTTCTGGCATGTTGTATATACCAAAAAACTAGTAAACTGTGTTATTTAACAAAAGATTTTAAATGCGCTTAGCCTCACAACCAACGGTTTCGTCCTAGCCCCTTATGACCTGTGTGGTGATCACTCCCGGATGGTTTTTCCTGATCTTCAGCTCACGATTAATCTGGCACCAGACGCACGGGTAACACCAAAGCACCTTGCAGCAGTCGTCACAGCCAGAGCCCTGGCGGAGGAAGAAGGGAGAACAGATAACAGTTAAAATGAATGATCTCTGATGGAAATATCAAGTCTCTTTAGCTGCTAAATGCTCTTCTATGTTCACCAGCTAGACTGTCTTCCCATTTGGAGGAGGAAGTGTGCAGAACTTAAAACGGCTACCAGGTTGGTAAGAGTGGTGAGAGTGAGCCAAAACAAAAAAGTTCCAAGTTTCCTCTACTGCGGTGGTTGAAAGCTCAGCTGGTATTTGAATACATTTCCATTCCCTCAATTTCCTGCAGTTGTGGCATAAAGTAGTACCAATAGGCTATTCATTCATTGAAATCAAACAAATGTATATATTGAATTGTGACCTTTGTGACCTTTGTACTACAAACTGTATCACTGGTGTCATGACATCGATATCTAATACCAGTCATTTGGTATTCAATATACAACTGCTATTTTGAGCAATCACAAGCAATCCGTTGTTAACCAAACTCACATAAAGGATGAGATTTCAAAAGGCTTCAGGGCATGGCCGTAGGAACTATTGTATAAAATGATATTTGTTTGTGTCAAACAATGACAACTGTACATAATTGTTTGCGTAGCTTTAGCAATGTTTGAATGCTCTGAATGCAACGGCCTGATTACACACCAGCTATTGTGCACATTATGTACAGCACACCTTCGTCATTTACTAAAATGACCCCCCCCCCCCC